GCCAGGGGGTCTTCAGCCGGGAGTGAACGGCACTGGAACAGGTAAGTAATTAGGTATTATTTGCCTACTTTTTAATTTTTTTAAAAGCATGGGGCATATATTTACTGCTTGCTACCAGTAGATATATGCCAAAAAAATTTAGATTTTAATTATATTTTAACCCTTGCATTGTAGGGTTGGCCCCACTTCAACGTTAATTTTTGCACATCCTGGCGTTCTGATTGAAGGTGCGTTTAAAATGCCCAGAGTACTCCTTTAACTAAAGATTAAGGTGGGAGGCTGAAAGGGGTACCCAACGCACTTTGCAGCAATAGACCACTTCTTATAGTGGATGTTTATTCAGTCTCTCTATAGAATAGACACGTGCAATTTGTTTCATTCCGGGAAAAAATTAGTACGAATTTTCAGAAATTCGGACACATCTGAATTTCCGAATCCAAATGCATCTGAATGTGTCCAAATCCAAATTTCCGTTTCCGAATTTTGGATCCTGTCCTAATTTCGTTCAAAAACAAAACTGAATCGGACATGTGACTTTTCTGGCCAATAAGATGTGCTTTTCGGTTTAATGCATCTGAATGGGTCTGAACACGAATTTTTGTTACGGCAACATGGGAGCCATATACAGTATATACATATAATACTAAAACTGAGGCTCCCAGACCCGAATGTCATTCAGGATCCGAATTGCATTCATGAGCTCCTGAATGCCATTTGGGTCTGGGAGCCTCAGCTTTAGTAATATATATATATAAAAGAATATATATGGTTCCCAGACCCAAATGGCATTTGGGATCTGAATTTCCGATTGCGTTCAGGAGCTCCTGAATGCCATTCGGGTCTGGGAGCCTCAGCTTCAGTAAAATATGTATACAGCTCCCAGACCCGAATGGTATTGGGGAGCTCCTGAATGCAATTCGGAAATTTGGATCCCAAATACCACTCAGGCCTGGGAGCCTCAGCTTTAGTATTAACATCTGTATATGGTTTTCAGTGGTATTCGCAACTAATATTCGTAAACTCATCCAAAACTAACGAAAATTCGGATTTCGTCTGAATTCAAAACCCAAACCAAATTGAATTTCGGATCCGAATCCCGAAATAACGACATATACGAACAAAATTTTTCCGCAGCTTACATGTCTACTATAGAACACGCACAAGGAAAATAGAAAATAATCTTCCCGTCTGTATGAAGCATCATTCAATATAATGTGCATTGGTTCCTAAGTGCAGACAATCACAGCAATACATGATGGATGCTAATTGCTGGGGGGGGTCGTTGCAGTTCAGAATTAGCACTTAAGAATTATCATTCTTTATTGAATAAGGTGGACGGAGGGGTAGACTGGCCCATCGTGCTCTGAGGCCAAAACTGTTTGTTCGATGTCTTGCACAACAAGTCTTCATCCGTAATCAATAAGTACAATGGCTTTGTTCTCTCTCTTAACCTTTCAATAAACACATCCTTGGGGAACAGAAACAATGTTTGCTGTGGTTAATGGAGCAAATAAAATACATTATCAGGCACTTATGGTACATTAGTCTCCTGTGACTTATATTACTATCTTAGGGAATGAAAAAGATTGCTGCCATTGACATTATTTGTAAACTATGATAATGAGCTTGATGTCGCGGAATTACGTTCAAATTTGTGAAAGGGATTGAAAGCTTTTTGAATTTGTTTTAGAGGTAAGCGAATAATCTCACAAGTTAATGGTTTAAAAACTTGTATGTTCATGTACATGTACACAGATAGGGGGAAGCTATACTTGGTCATTAGCTATGTAGACTCTGCTTCCTGATAGGTGATGCAGCATAGTGATTTTGCTTCAAAGAAGAACACCGGGAATTTAAAAAAACGTACCCTTGCAGTGGGTGTGTTAACTGCTCATTTTGTCTAGGGGGCTCAAATAAAGCAAATAAAGCAGATTTACTCACCTTGGTCCCACGGCTGTCAGTGCTCACCTCTCTCTCGTCCACTCCAGATATGGAATGTCCCTTGGCATCCTCACGTCTAATGCAAGTCAATGGACCTGCATAAGGCCCGTTCACATGGGCTGATCAGGATCTGATTGGAATGGTACAGATATGACATCTGTGTCCGTCCTGCGATGGAGGAGAAAACTGAACGTCCCTGCATTTGTGCAGTACAGGGTAGATAGAACCATTCACCTCATTGCCAACCAATGCCGGTCTATGGGGAATCAGATGTAAACGGACATGTTTCCCTTCACACCAGATTACCCCTGATCAGGTCAGTCGAAACGGAACATTGTTCTGTTTGATTTTTCCAGATTTGGCCCGAGTCAGGGGTTACCTTACATTGAGCATCCGATTGGGTCGGCCTGAACACTGAAAACTGAGTGGTGGACACGATTGGACCGCCTATGTGAAAGGGGCCTTAGGCCCGGTTCACACCTGGGCGTTTTGTAGCGCGTTCCTACGCTCTGCAAAACGCTCAAACACCGAAATCGCATTATTTCCTATGGGTATGGTTCACACCTGGGCGTATTACAGGCCGTATGAACGCGCTACAAAACGCCCTACGCCCATAGAAGTACAGGAGCTTCTTTGGGGCGTTTTTGTCACGCATGTTCATTGGGATATAGCCAGGTAGCCCTCGGAAACGCGCGCTTGTCAAGCGTTTTTTTTACCACGAATCGAGGTAAAAATGCGCGACAAACGCGCATATTCGATACGCCTAGGTGTGAACCCAGCCTTAGATATGATGACATCAGCAGTCCTTAGACTGCTGGAGCCCAGGGGAGAAGAGGCTGCAGGGACCGTCTAGCCACCCGGAGGGCGCCAGTGAGACTAGGGATCAGGTGAGTATAATTAAACTTTTCAAGCCTGCAGTCTGATTGAGAAAAAAGTAGAGGGGACGGGTTATCCTTACTCCGTGTTTCTCCCAATGTAAGCTAGATGAAGTTAGGGAAAGTTTTTTTCTCATTCAGCTATGTGGGTTGAGCAAGAAAAATCACTCCATAGCGAGGACGGGGGAATCTCCCATGCTGGTAATTGCATTAGGACAGCCACAACTGGGTATTGAGCCGAGTGGTGCTGGTAGTGCTACCCAGGGACTGAATTTTAGCTAATTCAGCAGAAAACATCCAAAATGTTATCTTTGTATGGCCAGTTTTAGTATTCTTCTTTTAAAGACCCTCCATTTTTGTCCCTGTATTTGTGCAGTACAGAGTAGATAGAACCATTCACCTCAGTGCCAACCAAGGAGCTTACAAACTAATGATACTCCTGTAGTCAAGCCACCAAACCTATAAACACTCTGAAACTAGTTTAATCAGATGTCAGTTAAACACTATAATATTTTTGGATTCCGTAAAGAAACAAGAACACCACATACAAGCGGAGAAAATGCAAACTCTGTGCAGATCATACCCCTAGTGGGAATTGAAACAATTGCCTTAGCACAGCATAGACCATCATTCTAAAAGAAGTGACTGATATATGTATCCAGCTCACTGAATGCTAATGGATGCTTTAAGGGGATCTTTCTTAACACTCATGGAGTTTTTATGTACCTTGGAGGGAAATTGTGGCCCATAGGGCTTTGGGGGCCTTGTTATACACTGCGGTTATGTGGTCAGTGTGGAAGTGAGCCCTTACATTGGTGGCCAGTGTGGATGTGACCCCTTATATTGGTGGCCAGTGTATATATGACCCCCTACATTGGTGGTCAGTGTAACTGTAGAAGTGACCCTTTACATTGCTGGTTTGTGTGGAAGTGACCCCTTATGTTGGTGGTCAGTGTGGATGTGACCCCTTATGTTGGTGGTCAGTGTGAATGTGAACACTTACATTGGTGGTTAGTGTGGATGTGACCCCTTACGTTGGTGGTCTGTGTGGATGTGACCCCTTTCATTGATGGTCAGTGTGAATGTGACCTCTTACATTGGTGGTCAGTGTGGAAGCCACCCCTTACACTGGCAGTCAGTGTGGAAGTGACCCCTTACATTGGTGGTCAATGTGGATGTGAGCCCTTACATTGGTGGTCAATGTGAATGTGAGCCTTTACTTTGGTGCTCAGTGTGGATGTGCCCCCTTACATTGGGGGGTCAGTGTGGAAGCCACCCCTTACATTGGTGGTCAGTGTCGAAGTGTGGAGTCTGCCACAATTCTTTTCTCAAGGAACTCCTGACAACCTCTCAAGGCACTGGTGGAACTAACAGGGTCGCAGCGGCCGCATGTGTGACTGGACCCTGGTGTTCCACCACTTAGGGGGGCCCAGAAAGGCCGACTGTTGGCTTTACACTGGAAGCCCTTTCATGCGCCCCTTGCTTTTGAAGACTAGTTATAAATAGATTTGTGCGGTTGCTGTTTTTGTTTTGCTTTGCTAGGTTTGGTGTAGGGACGCACTGGGGGCTTCAGCTGACATTTGGATTCCCTGGTTCTCTGGTGCTTCCCTATGCCTTTAAGGAGGAATGGGCTACCTCCAGGCATACATGCATTCAATTTATCTATTGCTATATATGCTCCAATATGGAGGCTCTCAAAGATTAGAGTTAGGACCACACTATAGAGAGGAACCTTGACAAGTGTTACTTCCACATATTTTGCAAAAGATTTGCAACTAAAACCTCTGTTTTTAAACATATTGTTAGAGGGTGTAATTTGTTTTTCTTGCAGGCTAGCTGGTAAGTGTGCTGGGAAACCTCTGGAGGAACCCTGGTTGAGAAAGGCTGGATTAAACCAACATAAACTAAAAGTGGAAATCCCTTTAAATGCGTAAGACCCTGTACTAAGATGCGTTTGTTCGATGCAAGCAGGTTTTGAATTACCATACAAGTCCATGGGAGAAGGTCAAATGCAAGTCAGAAGGAGGTGAAACGATCTTATCAATAAATTATGAATACCTCAAAAGTAGTTTAAACTCATGTCAAACTAATACCATTGAAACAACCCCCAATGCCCGTTGACACAAACCATAAGTTACCTGATATAGATCATAAAGATCTACAGACATATATATGGTCACCTACCCATTACATGGTGACTGGCGTCCAAAATTACAAGCCTCCGTCTCTTCCAGCTCTGGGCATAGCTTCCCCTCTCCAATGGCCATATGCTTAATGGTCCTCCTTCTATTCCGCAGCCCAAGCACAGTTCCTCCCAGCTGACACGTCTTAGAACAGGAAGTCCAGTCACCCCATTCTGACACTTCGCAGTCTTTCGGCATAATACAGGATTGATAGTGTAGGGGCATATTGTCCTGGGTGCAGATGCTGTAATAACAACATAAACTTATAATTGGAATATGTACTGCCACTTATTGCAACCAGACAAACAATCCCAATGGGGATCAGAAATATAAAGAATCCCTCAGAAAAAAAAAAGTAAAATGTAATGTTATGCCAGATAATTACAAACCGTTCAGATACTGGCTGAAAGAGGAGACAATAAAGATTTAATACAAATCTGAAATTGCTTATATAATTAATCATTATTAAATTCCAAAAGATTTCAGAATCATGCCAAACCTCAGCTGGTGTATTTGCTGGGCACTAACATATAACAAATTATTTCAGAGCACTGCATTTAGAAGATTTCACAATTAGTCAAACTGAATAAATCACAAAAGGCACACTTAGAGGCAGTTCACGCAAAGCATTCTTGAAGGGTTGCCAGCCATTTACAAGTGTAAGGTCACTTTTGTTTTATGCCTTTATGTAGGAAATGGTTAGAACGTCAGGCAGGTTTTTAGTGCTGTCTCTGACCCCTATTCCCATTTTCTATTCAAGTGATCAAATAATAAGAGGCAATCTGAAATTTTTACAACTGTTGTGGAGGTGAAAAGAAAATGTCCTAATTAGTGACATCTGTCTTGACTAAGATACTTCAGAGGTTCCCTTTAACTACTTAAGTCCCTTTCACCATAAACCTCCCAAACCCTCCACTTAACTAAATAATACAAAGATAACCCCTATATGGATGTACTCCTTGGGACTGCTTGATTCCCAAGGAGTACATCCCTATGGGGGTTAGACATGTGCGATTTGTTCGTTACGAATCGAAATTCGTATGAATTTTCCTGAAATTCCAAATTTCGGAGCATCCGAAATCCGAATGGCAGTTTCCGAATTATATCCGAAATACGAAATTCTGTTAACGAATTTCGGATCCGAATTTCTTTGAAACAGGACCCCTGTAAATGAGGTTGAACAACATGACAAGATTTTTTTTTAATCTGAGATACGGATCCGCTGCTGCTGATGCATTACAATACACAGTTACACACACAGGCAGGAAATTCGAAATTCCGTTGACGTATTTTCGTTCCGTTACGAACATTCGTTATATTGAAGGTAAAAAGCAAAGTACATTTATATTGGAGTTGATGGTTCTGACTACCCTAATAGCATTAACACCCTGTACTTGTTAGTGAGAGAGCTGAAATCCATACCAGAGGTTTAATGCTGAAGAACGTTTATTAGAACACATGAATTAGGAGAGAGGGTTAAGGGCTTAGGACATACAGTATATGAGGAAAATGGATAGAACAGAACAGAACTCCAGACTCTCCAGTTACTTTAAGTATTCCACAGTGTAGGATTAATAGGAGCACACGCTGACACTGGGAATTTGAGCAACAGCTGAAGAGGGATGGGCGTGGGATCTTCCATAGGAGAAACACCATACTTGTTCCTGAGGTCCATTCCGATCCAGACACCTCCGGCAGCCATCAGCTTCCCTGGTTCGCCTCCTCAATCAGTAGCAAAGGTCTCCTCCAAACTTGAGGCCAAGCGAAAAATTCCTTGAGTATTCCCACCCCCAGCCCTAGCCCAGGGGCAGGCTGGACAGAACTCCAACCAGTACTTACACACAGCTGGAACCAGACTGAGCACATGGCAATTCCCCTGTATATATGCCCCAATTTATCCAAATCCTCAACAGACAAATGCCTTCAAGGATCCAAACCGACAAGAAATTGCCGTGACTAGTCAGTCTACACAAAACATAACACAATTCCAGGGCGGGTGGGAGGGATGTTCGCTTTTCGTTTGCCAATCTCCGACTGGATCCATATGACTCCTCCTCAAAGACCTCACTCCAAAGCCCCTCCTGGCTGACCACTTTCACCCAATCCTGTAAGTGCCACTCCCTACCTTACTTTCTACCTTTCTTTAACCCCTTCCTACCCTGGTTCCCATTCCCACCCTTGTCATGTAGGCCGATTGCTTATTCGCCTTCGTTTCTTAGCTCCAGGCCTATCAAAGGTGTCATTTCCCCTCACTTTTGGGGTATTTTTTCTCACTTTCTGTTGTGTCACTAGGATAGGAAGTTTTCTTAACCTTTCCAGCACTATCCAAAACCAGAATAAAAAGTTCTGTTGAAAGTTAAAGAACAGTCCAGTATTTTAAAAAATTGACCCTTCCAGGGGACTACCCCCACACTGCAAGGGTTAAGTGCTCGCTTTTGGTCTAGGGATGGAAAAAGAAATACCTGATCCTTGGTCCTGCAGCAGTGACTACTCACCTCTCTCCCCCTCTGCACTGGGTGAGGAGTGTCCCTTGACATATTAAGAGCTGTATGGCCACTCCAGTGTGGGTGGGGTCTGGGCGGGAGTTTGCATGGATTGCTGATCTTCCTACAAGAACTAGTGGCAATGAGAGAACAAAACACATCCAACTCACAGGGCAATCCTGTCTATAGAAGGATATGTTTAGAACAACAGTCATAGAGCAATTGTATTAACATGAGCAGTAGATGATGCTGGCACCATTGCTCACTGACTGTTGTTCTAAACATCTCCTGCCATAGATTGGATTGCTCAGGAGCTCTGACCTTTGATTCCACTAAAGACTTTGATACATTGTTTAAGCTCAGATGAAGGGGAATTTGTGGCTCACAGAATTTTGAGAGCAAGAAGTAAGTGAAATTCTTCCAAAGGGTAAAAATATTCTGGTGGCGACTAAGATGAGAATTCGAAAGAGAAATAACGTCACCAGCACTCCAAAGTATAATGTGCCAATAAATGGACTATTGCTTTATTATACTTTGGAGTGCTGGTGACGTTATTTCTCTTTCTGATTCTATCACGGTGCCATCCGTGGTCACTACAAGCACCCACCCGGCCATACGTGTCTTTTCTGTTCGGTAAGGAGTGCAGCGAGATCTCTTGATTTCTAAGATGAGAATTCCACTCACTTTGAGGAGGCTTTCTTTTACTTCCTGTTTCATCTCCAATTCAGAAAGTATAGGGAAATGTTCCCAGGAATAAACAGACAGCAAAAAAAAAAAAAAACATTTTAAAAGTTAGTTAATGAAACTAAACTCAGGAGTTAAATGTAAAAAAAATGCATTCAAATACCCTATTAACATAAATGTCTCTTATTTGTGTATCACTCGGCTGTAGATCCTCAAATCATCTCAGAATTGGTGCTGACACTGTCCTTCCTTCTGGAGGGGGGCTACTTTTGTTCCCCATGGTCCCTGTGTGTGTTGTGAAGTAGTCACCACTCCAAGCTCACACTCGTGATGGACTACAATCCCAATAAAAGTTAGTAAACCATTACAGGAGCGAGCTTGGAGTGGTAGCTACTTTACAACACACACAGGGACCATGGTGAACAAATGTAGCCACCCTCCAGAAGGAAGGACAGTGTCAGCACCAATTCAGAGATGATTTGAGGATCTACAGCCGACTGATACACAAATAAGATACATTTTTGTTAATAGTTAGGGTACTTAAATACATATGTAAGATTTAACTCCTGAGTTTAGTGTTACTTTAAGGACCTGTGACTTCTCTACAGCTTATCTGATCTTTAGAAAGTGTTAAATCCAGAAAGTCATCTAGTCACTTAGCTTTTTTACGTGGAGTTCAGAAACAATGGCCCCTTATTTCTCTCGTGATTTATACTACCACAAATAAAAATATAAAATACAATGGTGGAGAAAAAAAACAAACACCTTTTTAAACCTTTAATAAATACATTTTATAGCATTTAGAGCTTGTCTAAGAAGAAAGGAACCTCATGAAGACATGAAGGACTACATAAGCAGATGCTACCCGTAGTTATGTTCACTTTCCTTTTAAACATCCTGATCAGTTCTTCAAAACTTGTCAGATATAACAAAAGCCTCTCTCAAGATTAGCCCAAGGTCAGAACATATTTCAAAAGCACATAATGCAACAGTTATACACGCCATCTACCCTGTAGAAAGCAGGACAAGGAATGATAGACTAAGGCAATGAAGAATTGCTTTTGTTTAAAGTGATATAAAACCTTAATTTTTTTTTCTTTTCTTGATTAGGAGGCCCACACTTACAGGAATTGACTTTTATTATTCTTTAAACTTTTTTTATTGCATTAAGGTCAAAAAGACATTAAGACTTTAGTACTATTGCTTTGACATTTAGTTGAGTTCTCAAAATTTGTAAACTGCTCCAGACTTTAATAAATGACAGTTGGAAGACATCAGGGCCGTCTTTAACATAGGGCAAAGGGGACAGTTGCCCCGGGCCTAGTCATTGTTGTGGGGCCCCCTGAGCCACGGCACCATTCTGTTCACAATGCATTGCATACTGTTGCTCTGCTCCTGCCGTACGGTGCATAGCACGACTGCGTGACATCTCATGCGGGGTCACTTCTCCCTTTGATGTCTGCTCTGCATTGCATGGCAGGGACTGGGCGGGTATGGGGTGAGGTGGTGGAGGAGCATGGCGGGTAGGGACGGGGGGGCCCAAGAAGATGTTAGCCCAAGGGTCCAATCAATATTAAACACGTCCCTGGCAGACATACTGAATATTAGTCATACAAACATTATTCTTACCTTAGCAATGCATTCCTTCCGTCACTTCGTGTACACTGTACTTGGCGAGTTTGATAACCAATCTCCATATCCCATCTATCGAATCCTTCCTGTGATCGATGGCTCTCCTGTTTGAATGTACTCTTTTCACCTGAATCTGAGCCAAAATCCAACATGGTCCTTCCACTAAAACTGATTTCCTTCAGATGAGGCAACCTACACTCGCTCCATGGGCCAACCTTAAGACTGTACATATGATCTTCTTCCCCAAAAGAGCAGAAGCCATAGAATGGACAAGGCCTCCATTCTGTGAGATTTGGGCAGTCTGAGCCACCGTACAAAGATGTCGAAATGACAAAACGAGTCCTGTGCTGAAGATGTTTCCCACAGTTTTTACTGCACGTGGACCACGGTGTGAATTCCGAAACAATACAATCCTGTGGGCATGGTACCAGACACGATTGTTCATTTGCTGGTCGCGGAGTAAAGTACTCACAGATTTCCAGAGAGGTTATGGATCTATTGTTCTTGTGGACACAACTCACTTGTCTATGCTGTAGTCCGCGTTGGGCTGTGACGCATTCCGAAGTTCTTGACGTAACCCCAGTGTGGAGATAAGGTACAAGAACACACAGGTCCCATTCTGTAGTCTCCCATTCATAGAGTTCTCTGTGCCAGTTGCAGATTTTAAAGCAGTTCTGCTGGCTTGCTGGCTCCTCCTCTGGGTTGCAGTTTGAGATGTGGGTAACCCAGCTGTCCCCGTGGACACACCAAACCGACCGACTCTGTAGCCCACTTGGTCCGCATTCTCCTACGCATTGACCCCACGGACCTGCAAAATAATGGCATTTTCATGAGCTGTCAGTAACACAAAAGATAAAAGTGATAAAAAAAAGAAACTAAGAAGGAACTAAAATTAAAAAGGTGGATACATTTTAAGCAGTTATGGGCACTTCCCAAATGTAGGACCTCCTCTCTGGTATATGGATGCTTCACACTAATAGACTAAATGTTCCTGATGTCGTAATGCAGCAGTTAGAAGATTGCACTGTTGCATAAATGTTCTAACTGTAGGGCATGCATATTTATGCAGAAACCCCTGGCTCCCATGTCACCCACCACAGGGGACGTACTTATCCCGCAGCTATAGGTGTCTACAGGGGAAGTCTATACGGATATTCCGAAACGAAACGAAACAGAACAAATTTTTTGACGGCGCACAAGTCTAATAAACATAAGATCGTTTTTCAGTCTAACCATTATCAGGAAGACTGGGTGCTGATTTACTAATTCATTTGAATGAGTCTTCAGGATTCGCCTGGTCTTCAGAAGGTCTGACCAATGCAGGAAGCCTCCATTGATATGTCTGTGAAGGTTCTCATTCATCCAGGTCATGGTATATCTGTAAAAAATAAGTTGAGGCAACTGGATTTAAATACAGCAAGTCCAGTTGCCTCGACTTATTTTTTACAGATACTCCACTGATATGGTAAGTGTTTAGGTTTCCTGCTTTGAAGCAACAGGGTCCTGGGTTCAATTCCCCCAAGGATAAAATTAACAGTGTGGCATGCTTGCACATTTTTGTGTGCTTCCCCATGTTCCCTATTTTTACCCACATTTCAAAAACATGCTGGTCAATACATTTGTTCTTTGCCCCGGGATCCTGACGCTGGCATTTTTGGTGTGAGGCTCCGGGTATGGACCAATAGTGTGCATAGCATACCAGGCCAGCTTTGTATCCCCAACTACACAAAAGCAACCCCTTCAATCTTAGACCTCCACTACCTGAGCACTAAAAACTTGAACAGTACCCACAGTCAAAACTAAAAATAGATCTGTATTTAATTTCTATACGTTTTATCCCACTCCTAATAATCATATCTATCTAGAGGTTTGTGAACTTGTTGAAGATGCCAAAAGGATGTACTTCCTCAATGCACTGACACAATTTCACTCAGCTCTGTGAATATGCACCTCCTGTTGCACTCTCACAGAGCCTGCCTTCTGTACTACAGCTCAACATCTGAATAATGTAACATTATCATTGCTTACCGGAAGCAATGCATGATGGGATATGTAGTCTTGAGAAATTAAGATGGCATCACATCAAGCAGCAGGGAAAGAGATGCAAAGAACACTGGAATTCCAGGAAGTTGATGAAAGTGATGAGCAGACAGAAGGTATCAAGGGGATTTTTTCAAGTAAGCTTTGATTGCATTATATATAACAGGAGAGGATATGCTGGGACTCCTTTAAAATTCTCCATCACTAAAATCCTACTCCAAACCCTGAATACTTAAAGGAGAATTATGAGGCGAGTGATTTTCGCTCAGCCTCATAATCTGAGCCGACTCACTGTCACTCACGGCTCCCTGCAGGGATTCCCCCCTCCCCTGTGCGATCCTCCAGCACTGACTGGCGTAAAGGACGGGGGAGGGGGCGGGCACAGCTGGCTCTGCCTCTAGATAGGCAGAGCCAGCTGTCACTCATGCAGCTGGGTGGATCCAGACAGTATTGTCGGGATCCGTTCTGGCTGCAGCATCTCAGTATACCGCGAGCTGTAGCTCGCGTTATACTGAGCTTTGGGTCACGGGAGAACGCTAGTTTGTGTTCTCCTGTGACCCTTAGGAGAACTATGGGGAAAAGCCCTGACCCCATAGTTCTCGTTTAACCTTGCCAAACCTAACCATAGCATTTAACCTAAATTCTAAAGGGAGCCTAACACTAGCTTGACCCCTAAAATACGCTCAAGCCCTAAATCCTATTCTGCTTGTACCAAAAGCATGCTCAGGAAAAATCAGCTCTGGACATATTGCCCCTATCCCAACTGACCCTAATATAAATATGGGTGTCTCTATATGACCGATACATAAATGCATACACAGTTAAAGCAAGCCTAACATCATGTATTTGATCTTTACTTAAAGGAGAACTATTGGGAGAGTAAAATGTACTCTTCCCAAAAGTTTCAGCTGGCATTTCACACTGTAGCTGCCTGTCATATGCTGATTCTATAGCTTGAGACTGAGCGATCACCAACCGCTGGGCACAGCTGGCTTTGGCTCTAGTAAGGCAGAATCAGCTGTCAATTAAGCAGCAGGGCGGATCTTTTCCTGGCTGCAGTGCGGCTCTGCGCTGTCCGGATATAGCAGGCATTAGCCCGATCTATGCTGACTTTAGGTCACAGGAGGACATTAGTAAATGTCCTCCTGTGACCCAAAAAAGAACTATAGCCAAAAAAAGGTTCTCTTTTAAGTGAAAATGCATTCCTGAACTCTTCTTGAATGCTGGATGTTGATTCAATATCTCAACCACCCTCCGCCTCTACCTGAAACATGAGCCATGCAGAACTGCAGTGTAAAATATAAGGTGAACTCTTGCAAACCTATGTCCATCATTCTTCTGGGCGTAGCTGGTGTGCGGTGGATGAGAGTAACATAGCATGCAGGAGATCACACATCTTTTAAGACATATACTTAGTAATTTGAATTCACAAACATGGATAGACAGATTGATGGATGAAAATGTAAAATATCAACTTTTTTTTAAATAAATATTTGTTCAATGCTCATCTTTGGAAAAAAAAAAGTTTTTCCTTTACATACACTTTAAATATGCATTCGAAAGCATTTTGCTATATCTGTCTGATAAGCGCAAAAACAAACCTGTTGATACTGCGAGAAATCTGGTGCTGTCCTGTCTCATGTGCACTATGCGGTATTATCTCAACCAGTGTTATAAGCCCATCCCAGTGCACCTCTGTGGACTACAGAAAACCTCCTTGCTAAGTTTGAAGACGAGGAGAGGTTGAGGCGTTCTGTAGTTCTAAAACAGTTGCTGTCCAAGGGTGACAACGCTGTTTCTCCATAGATAGAGTATGATGAGTGACGGTTGTCACTCTAAGACAGGAATTGTTTTATTTGCAGGATCACCAAATTGAAAACTATTGCAGCCACCACATCTAGGGACCAGTAAGCTGCAATCTATTATATTTTGGGTTTTGGGCTTAGATAATATGTTTTTTTTTTTAATGAATAGAAAGCTGGATTAAATTGTGGGTTTAAGAATCAAATTCTGGTAGAACCACACACCCTGTTTTTACATTAGCCAGCCTCATAAAAATGAAATATAATTTTCCAATTGTCTTCATAACAGTTATGAACGATTGTCTCAGGGAAAACAACTCGGCAAAGTAAAAAATCTTCGATTGTCTAAGCGCACCAATATTAATAGTGAGCGCTCCTCCATTGTTGTGTGCCATTTGTTTGTTTTTTATCTCTGGCTTGTGCTATTCAGATGATATTCCATATTGCTATATTCCAGCAGGCATCAAGGTCACCATCAGTCAAAAGAAAGAAAAAGAGATTCTCATTTAATAAAAAAAATCATGAAAATGTTACATGAAGCAATAATTCAGCGAGACTATTTGCGGCGACCTAAACCTCAGCACTGCGAACGCATACGAAGCGCTTTTATAGATACCGTTATTATGGAGATTGCATCAAAGTAGACGATGAGTTGTCAAGAAATAATACATTTGAGGTGATCAACATTACAGTTCTTATCCTGAACTGTGTCATAGTTTAAAGGTTTCTTTCTTCAGTGGATGCTGTAATGACAACGGCCTTGCTTTGGTCGTCTTTTGGGGTACACGGGCTGTACCCCAAAAGGGGGTACATATGGGGGTCTGTTGTACAAGTTGTTTGTAGCCACACGGCAAGCAGGTTTGAAAAAGGTCACAACCAACTTTATTACCAAACTAAGTTTATTACCAAATAAATCACACTTGTTTATTTCCATCACACTCTTTATATATAATCTTCCTCTCTCTCTCTCTCCACACTTTATAACTAAAGGTTATAAAAAAAATGTTTTGGCTTCAGCTCTGCTTTAAGTCTGCACAGCTGTACTCCTGTTAACAGAAGGTGAGTATACCCCCGGCAAGAACCATTATTTCCAGCTGCTGCCCAATAATCGCATTTTGTTTTTGTTTTATTTCAGAAAAATTTAAAACATTCTTCAAACATTTCTCCTCCCCGAACTTTTTTTTCCTATTAAAACCTAATAAGACCATCTGCTCTTGGCTGTTAAAGAAAAACACCCATCTGTTTAAAAGCAATGTTTTGTTAACACCGAGTTCTACCCGTAAAATAGAGTTACCGAAAAATACTGCCGGTGCCCGGAGGACACGACACCGGACTGCTGACTACAGCACAGAGAAGAGACTCTGATGACCAAGGACTAGAGGGGCTTCCTGCGGGCGCAGGGACATACGTAACATCAACGGGAAAATAAACATTAATGTTACCTTCCCACTTTTGCACTTATTGACGAGATATAGCAATTGTTTACACCTCTACTGCCCCCTGAAGCCATATCAACTACTTGGTGCATCTCTAATATGGAGAAACATGTGACTCACTCCCCTTCCTTCCATGATCCTTTTGTGATCCTTCCATGACCCAGAAGAGGGAACTTAGTCTTATGTATAATCCAAGCCGACCAACCTCCATCTATGCATGGTCTTTTACTTGGCTCTAGCCAATGAATGGAGCATTGGAAAAGCAAATAGTGGTAAAGAGTGAGCAGCGGTTGCCGGGCCCATAAAATTAACCTGTTACTTTTCAACAACCATTTATCTTGTGACTGGTATTTTCAATTTAACTCCCTGGCTGCAATTCAATAAAGAATTTGTGGAGTTATGGACGCATTCGAAATTCACCTAATTCATGAAAACATTGCAACAGATACATTCATATTTTCGACACGTCACGACAGGTTCAGGTAATTCTTATGTATGCTACTTTTAAAATGTGTTGCTCCACTTGCAAC